GCCCGGTGTTATGACCAAATGCAGAAACAGTTTACGGTCAAAAATAGCTATCTGCAAGATATCGACTGGAAATGATTTTTAGCAGCTTCTAACAGAGTGGAGTTATAACGGATTGCCTGTCAATTGCTGCTGCTTTGTCTGACTGTTTGACTGCTGACTCCAAATCTCGACTATGCAATTATAATTATCGATTTCTATTATTGCCAAACAGTTAGCAAGAAGACAAGAAGAAGATGGTAAGATAATGTAAGTGTCTATCACTGGCGGTTATTAGCGTCCGTCAAAGAGCGCGCACTGACGCGGATTTACCGCGCTAATGATCATGCTTACCGACGGTGATGAGGATGAAGATGANTGCTTCGGGTGGTCGATCTGCGCGAGGAGCTGAAGAAGCGGAACATCAAAACGACCGGCACCAAATTGCAGCTTCAGGAATCGCTCATTAAGGTGAGTGTGTGTTTTGTTTGCCACTCAATGACATTTTTAACTAGTGAATAACACGAATGTTACACTTTTCAGGCGGTTACACACGAACAAGAATTAGCTAAAGGTATTGTCGATAACTGTTCCGGTGAATTTTCTTCATGTGAACTGATGACATCGCTTGTTTACTTTGTAGGAAGTGCTGCGGTCTCTGAGGCTCCTGAGGTTACATCAGTTCCTGAAAATGTTGTTGACAAAGAGCCTGCATCGAATGCGGATAACAACAATTCAGGCGGCTCGACTGACGATAATAATTCAGCGGAAAACTCTGATTCCGAATCAAAGGTCGCGTCAATATCGATTAATGAGCAAAATGAAACAATCAAGCTTACTATTCGCAGTAGTCCCAAAAAGGGCGAACAATCACAACCGGCTTTAGAGGCAAATGACTCTGAAACAGACGAAAGTGAATCGGCTGACTCACGTGATCATTCGCCAGTAAACAAATCCAACTTAGAATCGAGCCCTGATGTGGTCGACGAAGCCGGAGATCAGGCAAACTCAATTGAAAAATCATCATCTGTGAATGAGAGCCACAATAAGCATATAAATGAAAACCACGCCGTTGATCCTCAAGATAACTCTCATAGTGACACTCTTGCGGCTGATCAGATGAATGAGAACAACGTTTCAGTTGATCAATCACAAAATCAATCAACTACTACTAGTATTGTGGACAGTGAGAAAGAAAGTGCTTTAAAGTCGTCTTCTCCTCCGGATACAGGAGCTGAAACAAAAGCCGAAGAAAAAGCTCCTTCTCTTTCTCCCACTAAAAAGTCATCTCCTAAGAAACACGCTTCCCCCGAAAGGTCTTCCGTCAACTCATCATCTGCTCGCAAAAGAGTTTTTTCANTGATACAGGAGCTGAAACAAAAGCCGAAGAAAAAGCTCTTTCTCTTTCTCCCACTAAAAAGTCATCTCCTAAGAAACACGCTTCCGAAAGATTTTCTTCCGTCAACTCATCATCTGCTCGCAAAAGAGTTTTTTCTGACGTTTCTGAAAAACCGACTGAAAGTGCTAAAAACGATTTGCTAGAGTCGAAAGGTAGCAAACCGTCTATTCGTGGGCGATTATTGTCGCACTCAAAGTCGATCAACGAGGAAGATTCGTCAAAGCCGGTGCAAAAGAAACGTCGTTGGGGAAGCTCTCATGTTTCAGGAGAATCAACAACAATTGCCAAGAAGGGTATTTCGAGCGATGAGCTGAAGCAGCTCATCAGCGAATCAGTTACAGAAAATGAAACCTCAGCTGCCAAGGTGAGTAAAGTTGCAGCTGTTACTGAAGAGGATTCTGTAACTGTTCCAGTTGATTCGACAAATGACTTGACTAACAACAACAATAACAACGAAAAAACAGAGCCGAAAGAAGTGGAAGTTAAGAAAGTGGATGTTGCTAACACTGAAAAGACTAACAGTTCAGAATCTGATGCCAACAGAGCGCCTCCTTCTCCTAAAGGCGAGAAATCTGATGAAATGAATGCTGAACGAACTGTCGCTTCTTCTAAGAATCCTGAGTCTACGGTTTTGTTCATCAGTGGTCTGGTTAGACCGTACACTTTGCCTCAACTTAAAAAGCTACTTTGTCTCAATGGCCTTATTAATGAGGAGAAGTTTTGGATTGACAAAATCAAATCCAAGTGCTACGCTGTGTACTCGACCGTTGAAGAGGCTGTTAAAACACGCGAGGCCCTCCACGGTTTAAAGTGGCCGCAGTCTAGCCCAAAGGACTTGTGTGTCGAATTTGCTACTCTCGAAGATATTGATCGTTGTCTTAATCCGGAGAACTACGAGAATCTTCCTCCGCCCCGTAAATCTTCGCCACCAGCTGCTAAACAGGCGAAACAGTCGGATGCAAATGACAAACCAAAAAGGGGCACTGCCATTGAAATCAGCAAAGGAAAATATGACATTATTCAGAACGAGCCTATTCATGACGGCAAAGATGGAACGGGCAAAAATTCGGCAAAAGACGACGCCTCTTCTCGTAATGTCCGCGAATGGGATCGTAAAAAGGTCACTCTTACTGAGCGCAAAGAGAACAATGATGAGCAAGAAAGTCGCAAGCGTTCTCGGCCTTCAACTGAGAACGACCAGGATGCTCCAGCTGATAAAAGGGAACGGATTCGTAAGTTTGGCAATTAAGTTCATCTAAAGGGTGTTTAAAGTGACTAATCGGGTACTGTTTGATTGCGTTATTAGGTTCAAGGACTCCGGAAAAGAAAAAGAGCGAGCCAGCACGAGACGCCAAAAAGAGTGAATCTCCGGCCAAAATGTTGGAGGACTTGTTTCGCAAGACTAAAGCGATGCCGTACATTTACTGGTTGCCTCTTTCCTATGAGCAAGCAGCTGACAAGGCAAAGAAGCGAGAGCTTCTCGAGAAGGAGCGGCTTGAGCGTGTTGCTCGTCGAGATGCAGACAGCAAACGTGAAACGACCAACTTCCCACCGCCGCCACCTCCGCCAGCTAATCGCTCTGTGCCAGTCAATGCGGACATTGTAAGTGTCACAAGTCTTTGTACGAACCATTGATCTTATTTTCATTTTATCTTTTTATTGCACTCTGCAGCATCGTGATCGTTCTAAGATGCAAAACCCAATTCGACGCCGCTCTCCGCCTTCACCGCCACGTCGAAAGCGCTCGCCTTCGCCTTCCCCACGAAGGAATAATGCACGATACTCACGATCTCGCTCACCTGACCGTCGTCGGGCTGTCTCTCCTCGAAGGAGAAGATAAACGTGGAGGTGTTTTCTTTCTTACAAAGATTCGAATTATTTGCACCATGTACTTTTTGATAAGTCAGTTTGTCACCGCCTCACAGCCATATTCCACCACCTCCTCCTCCTCCTTCTCCTTCTTTCTTACCACCGCCTCCTCTTCGTCATCTCACCCGCTCGTTGACTGTGTATAGCCATCTACTATTCACGTTCCTTCATCAACAAGCTTTTTGGCCCCCATCTACTTGGTATTCTTTTTTACCCAAACAAAATACAAATCTTCTTCCCTTGGAGGTTCTATCTTTTATCTTAGGAGATCTTTAGATTAATCTTATCATATTATATTATAAAGCAGCAGCGTTAAATAATGGGTTTAGAAAATACTACTTTAATCTTACTTTTTAGTACACAGGGGGAGGCAGGTTAATTAGCTGGTTTTGTGTTAGCTAGCTTGGAGAAGTGGTAGTTGAACTGTTGAGGCTCAAGTTTTCTTTTGCAGATTTTTGCCACTCTTTTCTCAGCAGAAAAACCTCGTCGTCAGCACCAGCGACAGCTCACTCCTCAACTCCTCAACTCAGACCAGCACAGCAGCAACAACAGCAGCAGATCAGTGACGCCAGCCATGCACACACAGACAACATCTTCGCTATCTTCATTATGACAGATTGATCGGTATAGAGCGTATTCAACTTTCTTCACTTTGAGCACATACACTCACAAGCCGAACAACAAAACTGTTTCTCAAGCGCTGTGGAATTCTCTCACACATACACTGGATACTTGAAATGCTTAATAAAAAAACTTTAATATTACATATAAGCAAGTGGATTACTTAATCAGTTATATGAAAATATAAAATATATGCGTCTATGGTCATTTTTGATCCCGCTCTCACCAATGAATTTTTAGTAACGACAACAATTCGATTAACAGAGGAACTACGGTAAACTCGGCTCGCGTTTGGGCATTGGTTGGTTTCGTGGTGGAGTTTTATTTGGAGCCGCCAAAGTAGCCCATACGGTAGAGGACGACGGGCACTAGGGCGACGGCAACTGATATGGCCCAGGTGGTCCAGTCAGAAGATCCGCTGCTGGATGGCTTGTTAGACCAGTTTAGCGTCTTCTCCTGCTTATCGTGCGCGTGTTGGTTTGATGGACGAAATGGATGTGTGGAGTAGAGTGGAAGAAAAGTGACAAAAGAGTGAGAAGTGGAAAAAGAAAGACATTGCACACTAAGAATAGGTGTTGAACTCAAAAGAAAAAAGGTCGCCGTAAATTGCAAACTATGTTGACTGTGTGATATATTTATTGAAATGCTAGGCTGAAAATGAGTTTAGTAGATAGGAAAACTCGCGCATTTTGGTCGCCTTGGGAGGGGAGAATTTTGCATTGGTCATAACTTAGCCGTCGATCATCACACTACATAATGAGACACTTTTTGTCTGGAACGTCGCTGTTGCCTTTGGGCTTCTATTCACGCATTCACAAAGTGGCAGGCGCAGGCAAACAAGTGAACATTGTCCCAAAGTGTGAACATTCAATGGCATTGGTGGGTGCAAATGACATTGAATGGTGAGGAGGAGAAGGAAAAAGTAAAACAAATATTAACATTTGAAAAGTCACAAATTAATCGAAAAGCATCCACAAAGATAGCCAAAATACCAGAAAACTATGTGATAGTCGATTTTAGAAGTTTAGGTCAGAAGCCGATCAGCGGTGAGAGCACCTAACATCAGCTGAAGCAGGCTATCGATGCTCGCAACTGCGTGTGGCATGCAAAGATATCATCTCCCCTCCCGTGAAATACAAGTCCCTCGAAATGAAAATACTGCTCCTTCCTGTACACCTGTTTTTCCCCTGTCTCCTAAACCACAAAATGGGGCAAGTAAAAACAAACAAACACAAAAAGTTCCCTAACGACAGCAGCAGGCAAAGACAAAGTGGTTAATAAGTGGTTGCTTAGAGGAGGAAATAGAGAAACGTTTGGAAAATATAAATTACCTCGACCTTCTTCGTCTTTTGTTTGTCCTCCTGTTGGGGAATAAGTAAAATGTGTTAATTACAATTTACTGCTCAGTAGACTAACACAAAAGGTTCACTTGCCTCACAAAGCTCGCCAATTTTGTATTTGGCCATCATCTCCCGAGCATCGGTTGAGTGGCCAACATCTTCAAAAGCCTCAGTTGCCTCTTTACCGGCTTGCTCAATGAGCACCTCTTCTCCACCAGGGTGCTAAAATGGAATATATGGAATAATTGATAAGTTCAGTGACTGACAAACGGTCAACAACAACAACAACAACATACCTCATCGAGGAAAGGGGTGACATCGTAGACTGAATCGTGGATGACAATCCAGACGGATTTTTTCTCATTGTGCGTGGCAATCTCTTCTAAGGTGAACGTTTTGACTTCGGCCATTGTTTATGTGAGATGTTCTGCAAAGATGTTCATTAAAAGTTAGGATTACTTCATAGATAATTCTAGTCTTCTGGTGTTGGCTGTTTTGAGCTGGTGACAGCCGAGACTCAGAGGAAAAGGCTTTACTTTAAAATGCACTAAACACTTACAGTGGAGTGCTGCTGTTCTGGTTGTGATCGCCGATTGGTGATGATGATTATGGGTACAGTCGGCGCGATGACGGCGTAAATGTGGCAGGACTGAAGAAGACAACGACGACGACGACGACAACTACGACCAGCAACAGGATCGCGAGGCAGGCAAGTGATGAGTGACGGTGAGCACAGGCCGAAAGGTAACTACTACAACTGCGTTTATCTCGATGGCCAGACTTGAACACAGCACTAGCGGATACTACGGCACTATTGGCGTACACAATCGCGATCGGCTGAGGAAAAAACTGGATACTGAAGGCGGGACTTGGACGCTTGCGTATTTCTGTTACGCAACCAAAAAAAGTATATTTTTACTCACAGAAGACGTAATGAAAGAAAGTGGGCATTCGTTATTTTTATGAAAGAAGGCACAAAATCTTTACAGTCGAGGATGCTTTTACTGGCAATAAAAAGTTTAAGTGAACAAAATGACATCAAAATTGTTTTAAAGCTGCTCTGCGGTGGTGAACCTTGGTTGAAGGAGTGTTAAAAAAATGGCATGTCATACTGCGAAAGCTACGCCAAGTTTTATGTATCACAGTTATCGTCATTGGTGCAAAAAAAGGGGAAATTTTCAGCCGTTGTGCGTCGATGTTCCGAGACTCTTTCGGACCTCCTCCAACTCTTCGGTGAACTGCCTTCTCACCTTCAGTCTGAAGACGATGTCACAAAATTCGTAATAGATTCCAAAGGACTCGGTGTCCTGATATCTCATATCGTGAAGTACTACTTGGTCGGTTAGCTTCGGCTTGCAGAGGATGTAACCACTGAGGAAGAGGTCTGCCACCAGTGTACCGATGACTACCACCAGTAGCGAGTACATATCCATCGGCGAGTTGGTGCTCTTGCAAAAGTACCAAACCACCAGCAGAACTGCGTTCTCCACCGTGTTCACGAACAAAAAGACAAGTGGGCGCTTCTTTTCCTTCAACTGAAACATGATCGGCCACAACACCAGCGACGGCAGACCAAAGAAGAGAAACACCAAGATGGCCAAGTGAAATCGGTTCTTCTGCACTGGTCGGGTCTCCGGGTTATCTGTTACCTGCGTGTCGGTGGCCTCATTGTGCGACTCGACGGCGATGTTGTACACCCAAATGGAGAAGCCAACTGCGTGCACTACGAAAAATGGAACAAACCACACGCGGAAGAGGGTAAGGGCCAGAGCGAAGACGACCACGCGACTGGTGAACATGGAGATCCAGCCGATGAATGAGAGCATTCCTGAAATTAATTAGCCTTCCTGTTATAACGGTCAATTGTCATGTGCATTTTACCTGTGAGAATGCCGTCATCTCGTCGTCGAATGGCAATTAGCATCGAAAAAACAGACAAAACAGAACTTCCCAACTCGACGGCCACTTGAAATGAAAAAAATAAGATTGATAAATCAAAACTTGGACTAAATCTTACTTACGAAATAAGTTTTTGTCAAGTAAATTGTTCACTTCCAGGGAGAGAAGATAAAGTTGCAAGAGAATTTGCAAGAACCCGGCGTAAAAGTCCTCGAAAAACTCCAGCACTTCAGCGCTTCGGCTCAGACATGCAACGTTCTCCATTTCGTCTGGTTTCCCTGGCCGGAAAGAGCACAGTCTTTCTGAAGCAAAATACAGTCCATCTAGATGTCTGTCAAAATGAATGAAAACATTGAAAATGTTGCACAATTTGTAGCTGAAAATTTGTACCTTTTTATTTGCCACGGCACCAAAAGCAGTCCATTTACAAACTTGGTTGTGACTGTTTTTGCAAAACGTTCGTTAGAGTTCGCCTTTATGATAGTTTCAAAGCTGAGGTAAATTGCGTAAATAATTGATGGAGAAACCAGGGAAAGAACAGAGATGATTCCTGAAATTGCGTAGTTTTAGTTTCAAACACTAACGAGCAACAGTTAAGCATTTTTCACTTACCAAAGTAAAAGGCCCGTTCTTCGTAGTACTTTTTACTGTGTTAATGTTTTTAGTAAACTAGCTTTTAGTGAATCTTTAATTACTTACACTGATCCAGCATCTTGGTATACTTTATTGATGTACACGCACAACCTATTGATTAAGGAAACATTTTTAGTATTTGGGAACTATTTGAATGCTGGCAAACTCAAACCTAATGATCGAAAAAATGAAAATTCTCTGGAAAAGGAGCCTAGACCATATGCCTGTTTGGCGGCGTTTTTGGCGATTGTTTTCCACATCCTAAAACAGGTAAACACAATATTTAAAATAATGTTTTTTTGTATCATTTGACAGTAGTACATTTGCCCGTGTGTTGTGATTGCCCTCCATTGCACTATTAAAGATATTCTTACTGAAAAGTGAGGCACTTCTTTGCTGTTCTGAATGACAGTGGCAGGGTGAGGAGTGTCAAGACAGCAACTCCACAATACACAAAAAACAAATTGTGCTCATTTCGCATCCATAAAAGTCGCTTTGACTCATCGAGCAAGCTGTTCGCAGCAGCAGCCTGTGAACAAGCGTCGCTGGTGCAAGAGCACGTTGAGGCGACAGACGCCAGAGCAGCTATCCACAGGCAGCCACAAACACTTCACAGAGATTGCCATTGAATTTCGTTTATTCAAGGCTGCGCCCCATTCGACCACTTGTCTGAGCGAGCTGCCGAGCAGACGGCGCGCTGTCCCTCTCCCTTATCGGTGTTGATGATTGAGGAAAGAACAGAAATGCTGGCAGTACTCTGGCTGCCAACAGCACTGTTTCTTCTCCCTTCTCGGCTTTGGCTTCCGCAAAACTAGTTGTTGAGCAGAAGAAAAAGAGTGTGACCGCCGCGCAGAGAGTTGCCGTCACCGATTGAAGCCACTCTCAGCCAAGTGCTTCCACTGAATCGATTGATGATCAATTCACACACACACACACAGACAGACAGTGTCTCGTTGGAAATTGCCAACAGTCTCAATCGATCACGCCGATCTGATCGGCAAAGCTTTCAAGCTAGATCAAGTTGCACGTACAGTCGTGCCGCACTTTTTTTCAGTGCTCAGCCGCCAATACAGTAGCAGTACAATTGCAATTTGATGCCTCGCTCATTTGACTGGCAATTATCGCACTTTCCCCTCGAATTGAATTTCCTCGTTTTACTGCTACTGTGTTTAGTGAGCACCTAAACACAAAGGGCACACTCTAAGCAGCTTTGATCAAGTGAGGGAAGCAGTCTCTGTCATTGAACTCATTTGTGCTGGGCAATTGATGCCACTGGGTAATTGAATGTGATTACATCATCTGCCAACGTCAGTAACTCACTCACTGGGCAATGGTGGGCTAGTACTGGTTCTGCTGCTCTTGGAGGCAGTTGTGACGAATAGAGAGCAGCATCAAAAGCAGCAGTAGCCACTTTCAATGATCGCCCGCACTGTATAACACTTTCAAACAATAGCAGTGCTTTGAGACGCAAGGAATGGTAGCGATTCTTTATACAGCACCCCACCGACACAGTAGACACTTGCCGTTTGACGTTGAGCGGGAATATATGAGTTTGCCCAGTGTGTGTGCCGATGTGCCCTAGCCGCACAATATGTGCGCTCGTGGCAGTAAACTGTGCAGTGGATGCGTCCCCTCATTGTGAGCTGCCTCATCTACAGCTGCAAGCAGATAAGACGCCCTGTCGCTGAAGAGTAGGAGGAGGAAGAGTGGGGGAGAGAGTGGGCCAGTGGGCCAGCGCATATACACACACTCACTCGCACTCTGCTCACCATACTATCGACCACTTTGCCTAGTTGGTGTGCCTTGCGCCGGAGCAGGTGCTCGGAACACTGACGCCGACAGACGTGCGCGCCAAGTGCCGACCAGTGCGGAAGGAGAGTATTCGGAAAGGCAAGTGGATCGATCGATTGGAGCACGACAGCGGCGGCGGTGCTGCTACTGCTGCTACTGATTCTCTGGCAGCGATTCTCTCTTTTTCTGCCATCTGAGTTGGCCATCAGTTGAGGAGGCATCACACACACCCGACACATATCATTGCACACTTTTCCTCGCTGCCGCTCTTTGGGCGTAAATGCCAGTGTCCTCTACAGAGTGGCCTAAGTCCTCTGACCACGGTTATCATCTATGGTAATTGCCTTCAGTGTGTGAGTCATCCTAACACCCACACCACCGCCGAATCGATTGAGCTTGATACAGCTAGAAAGCACCGCTAGAAGCAACACCAGTTACCGGCCTCAAAATGAGCTATCAGTTTCCACGCGATGGCTATGAAGGCCAGGCCAATGACTGGGGCGCCATGGGCCAGGAGTCAGGGTCAGGAGTGCCCCGGCAGCAGACGGACACTGCCGCTGGAACGACGATCATCGAGAACGGAGAGGAAGTGACCGAGCTGAAGACAACTTTGGGCACTGGCAAACGGCACGAGGAGAGGCAGCCACCGTTCTCCTTCATCACCGATCCCACCATCAACTCCATTCTACTAAACATCAATCCGCAACTCTTTGTCTCCAAGCTCTTTTATCTCTTCTTTTACTCAGCATTTGGATCACTGTTTCCACTTCTTGCAGTCTACTTCAAACAACTCGGCATGAATCCCATTCAAGCAGGTAAGAGCACATTGCTATTGTATTTGATTACTGTATGATAATCTCATTGCTGCAGGCACTCTCATCGGTATTCGACCTTTTGTCGAGTTTATCGCCGCTCCATTCTGGTCTTCTCTAGCTGACCGATTTCACAAGTGCAAGGCCATTCTGCTCTTCTCCCTCTGCTGTTGGATTATTTTCACCTTTTCGCTGGCATTCATTCGACCTCCAGCATCAGCATGTGTCATCTTCAATGAGACCAACCACATTCTCTTCACGCCTTACAGTAACCAGCCACAGGAAATCTTCGATGACACGTCTACACTGTGGCCAAACACTGAGGAGGCAACTCAGACCACTTTGATAAATGCTTCTACTTTGTCGCCGGAATCTGTTCCAATTCTTGAAGATGCAGCGAAATTTGTCAATTTAGAGTCTCAACACCGAATCTTTAAAAGAGGTAAGTTTTGTTTTTGTTTCGCTCCGCCAAGACTCTACAGTTAACAGTAAAAAGGTACTTATGGTTTTCTTTTTTTGACAGATGAAGAGGAGGAGGGAATAGTACGAAAGTGGGGCATCAAACATCGTCCTCCTCCAACTCATGTGGTCGGTAAATCGCCCCTAACTGTGGAGTACACTTTGAACTACAACCAAGATAAACACTCCACCTACGTTTCTCCGCCTTTTTCGACCATTGTCTACAAACTAGATGACGTGAAGGAAGTTTTCTTTCTTCTTTTCCTCTTGGTAGTACTGGGTGAGTTCTTCAGCGCTCCAGCAATTACATTGGCAGACAGTGCCACACTGAGCTATCTGGGCGAAGACACAGACAAGTATGGACAGCAGCGAATGTACGGCTCATTCGGTTGGGGTATAATCATGTTCCTCGTGGGCATAGCACTGGACAACTCCACCAAGTTCAAAGACCACCCCTGTGGGCCGCACAGTGGAGAGCGAAACTACGTTACCTGTTTCTCCATCTTTGCACTGCTGATGACGCTCACTCTGCTCATTGCCACCAAGTTTCAGTTTGAGGAGAGTGACCAGGAGTACAGCAATGAAATTCAGATGAACCAGTACGACTACGAGGCGTCGGGACCGAAGCCGTGGCAGAACACGGCACCGGCCATCAATGTGCCCAAGGATGGCACTGCGGCCCCCAACAGTGGCACTACCAACAAAAAGACCGAGTTTATTGATCGATGGAAGGTAAGAGTGGTGGTATGCGTTAAGGCGAGAATGAGTCGAATTTTCCATTTTATTGGCTCTCGTATTATTTCTATATGAATTGTCGTTTTTCTGCCAACTCTTATAACTCAACTTCTAGAGTACCTGAAATTTAGGTTAAAGTCTCAAATTAAAGTTTAAGAGTTGCTCTACAAAATAATGGGAGCTTTTAATTTTAACTGCTTNCGGTCTGGTCTTCACCTTTCTCTTCTGGCACCTTCAGGACCTGGGTGGCACGCCGACGCTGTACGGTTTGGCCAGTGTGATCAATCACCTCAGCGAGATTGCCGCCTACTTCTACAGCATCAATCTCATCAAGCGCATCGGCCACACCAAGGTACTGTGCGCTGGCCTGCTCTTCAACGCTGCTCGCTTCCTCTACGTGGCCTGGCTCGATAACCCCTGGTGGGTGTTGCCTTTTGAGCTCATTCAAGGTAACCGATTACGGCTTGATTACGATTTCAAGCAGTTCATTTTCTGCCCGTTTGCAGGTGTAACACATGCGGCCGTTTGGGCAGCCGCCTGCAGCTACATCATGGGCTGCACTGAGCCGGAACTTCGGTCATCAGCGCAGGGTGTAATGCAGGGCATCTACCAAGGTCTTGGCAGAGGAAGCGGATCCATTCTCGGCGGAATGATCATTCACCGCTTTGGTATGATTTAGTTCATTTTCTATTCTCTTCAGTGTGAGTTCTAAAAGGGAAATATTGATTAGGTTCTCGAGTTGCATTTGGCCTGTACGGCCTGCTGAGCGCCGCGTTCTTCGGTCTTTTTGTGCACGTCAACTACTACCATAAGGAGGAGGGAGGCTACAAGTTTGAAGAGGAAAATGTCGAGCAGGTGGTGATCAATGATTCAAGTGCGCTGGCACCACACGGAGTTCCCACGAATCCCATTGCTCGGTCGGTGTCTCGGCAGAACGTCGAGTTTAATGCCAACCCTGCCGAGACGCAGCCAATTGGCCGACAGAACAACCTCAGTGCCCAGTACGCCAGCACCACCGGTGCCACCACTACCGCCACTGCAAACGACCAGTATGGTAGTTTCGATCCAAATGAAGCGTGGAATTAATTCGAAAGGTAAGTCAACTTTTTCTTATAGTTGCGATAGTTTGGAGAATGCATTCAATACGGTGATTCACTTGCAGGCGCCTGAGTATCATCTCATCACTTTAAACTTTGCCGTGCGTCAGAGTTTTCAAATGTGTTCTGCAGCAGTTTCTCCTGTCCTCAAAGTTGTTCCGTGTTTGGTTATCACTTCCTCATAGACCACTCTCCTTCTCGAAACTGCGGAACTGCTTTTCGCACCTTCTCATTAGAAAGTCATACTCAAACTCAGACATACCGAAGCATACACACAAAACATACAAACACACACATAAAGACACACACAAAAACACTCACGAACCGACACCTCAACCACACTGTTCCCTGTATCAATTATGGTTGTGAATTACGTGACTACGTAAATGCGAACTCACTGATAGTAATTCGCCGGTACTTGGCTGCATCACAGTGGCGCGCCATTTCCATTGTTGAGCTCTCTCTAACTCTCGATGTTGTCCACGCAGACAGTATCGTTACTGTGCCTAGTAGTGGCCAGTACGTGTCCGTAGTCGCCAAGTGCATTATCATTAATAATTATCCACACAAATATCACTACAGGCGAAGTGCACTGCAGCCAAAAATGACCACTCATCGAATCGAATCGCCGATTTAAAATATGCCACATACCATTTTGGTCCTCCCCACTTCCTTACTTTCATTTCCCACCTTTCATTTTTGTTATCCATAACACACACACGTCACAAATTTAAACAATAGTCCCATTGACAGCTCCCACTGATTCTTTGTCTGGCATTGCACTTTTTGTCCGTCCTCAAATTGTCATCTTGCTAATGGTGTTTCATCACTAACAATTGAACTAGTCCCAGCGTAGCTCACTGTAGTCACCCAAACACTCATTTCCACTCCAAATACTACTACACTCGTTCTTCCCAACCCATGGTTGTGCTTCAAGTCTT